CCCCAAAACCCCAAAACCCCAAAACCCCATCAAGCAGAAGTAAATTGAAATTAAGAATAGAATTGAAATAAAAAATAACTAAATAGTTTAATAAGAGTTGCAATTTAAAAGTCAAATTCTTGCTATAACCATTTGACACAACGGGCATTTGAATTCAGGGACTTAGTTTTCTCTGTTTTCAACAATATTCCTAATTAACTCTAAAATGCAATCGCTATGAATCCCATGAACACAGTTCTTGAATTTTCTTATAGATTTCTTTGAATCTGCGAATTCTTCATGGCAATAGCAGCAAACTGATTGATTAACATTTTTATGAAGCTGTTGCAATGAAACGATATCAGTCTTAGCTTTAAGTTTATTGAAAAGGTCTTAAATATTATACTAAACAATAGTTCTGTCATTGCCTTAAACTTGGTTATAAGGGATGGCTGGTGCAGGATTTTGTTAGACTGGATAATTATGTTATCTTTTCCTACAACAGCAGCATATTACTATTCCAAATACTATTAAAGCAGCGCACACAAAGACAACAGAAAGTATAATGGTATTAGTAGTAGAAAGACTAGAACCACTTCCTCCTCCACCACCACCACCGCCACCGCCTGTATTAACAACGACATTTGTATTTTATGTCACAGTTGTTTATAATTCTCTGCTTTTAAAGTAATTGTATTCGAAATTGTTTTAATTTTTTTCGGTTTGCTTTGAACTCAAAGATCTCTCTTTGAAAATTGGTTTTAAATGATATCCTAAGAAGTTTTTCTACTCTTGATCATGATTGTTATTTTAGGTTTATTGTGGAACTTCATGCATAATATTGCTTAGACCTTCCTTAATCATATTTTAATTATTAATGTCAATAAGCCTTTAGATTTAGATCTAATCTTATTCTTCAATAGATGATTATTGTGACCAGTTCTCAACAATTGCCTAGTTTTATGTCATTTAATTTAATTTTAATTAATCATAATCAACTTATCTCGATATAACTCAGTGACGGGGTTTTGGGGTTTTGGGGTTTTGGGG